CGTGCCTCAAACACCGAGTGCTGAAGACAAATTGTTTACCATTTATTATTACGACACTTTACACTGAAACGCGGGTAGTTTCAACAAAAATATTGTATATTTCCATTCAAGTATTTATTCAAATCAATTAGGAGGGAATATTATTGTAATACAACAGTTTTTTTAACTAAACCATTCGAAAAGCGATTACGGTAACATCTTTTGAACGAAAGAAAGCGAAAGTCATTGTTTTCGTCAAGATTTTATCCCACTTTCCACTGTAATACGTACGGAATTTCAGCAAAAATATTACATTTCCGTGAAAGCATTATATCAAGCACAGTATGAATAGAATACCATTGTAATGTAACAGTATTTTAACCGAAAACTATTAAAAAAACGAATAACATCTCAAGAACATTGGAAGCTTAGGTAAAGTCTTTTGTTTTTGTCATGTATTTTATCCTATTTTACATTGAAATACATCACGTTTCAGCAAAACTACTATTTATTTCCGAGAATATATTCATTCAGGCGCAGTTTAGGTAAAATATACGTGTGATGTAACAGTTTTTTAACTGAAAACGATTCGAACAACAAGAACCCTCTAGCCCTGTTCAAGGAGAGGACTGGGAGAAGCTGTTTGGTGCTGCAGACGATGACAAGGAAAATGATTTGGATGGATTTTAATGAAAATATTCAGAAATATGGTATCGTAGTATTTATTCAAGTCAATTAGGATAGAATATTATTGTAATACAACAGTTTTTAACTAAACCATTCGAAAAGCGATTACGGTAACATCTTTTGAACGAAAGAAAGCGAAAGTCATTGTTTTCGTCACGATTTTATCCCACTTTCCACTGTAATACCTACGTCATTTCAGCAAAAATATTACATTTCCGTGAATGCATTATATCAAGCACAGTATGAATAGAATACCATTGTAATATAACAGTATTTTAACCAAAAACTATTAAAAAAACGAGTAACTTCTCTTGAACATCGGAAGGTTAGGTAAAATCTTTGGTTTTCGTCATGTATTTTATCCTATTTTACATTAAAATACATCATGTTTCAGCAAAACTACTATTTATTTCCGAGAATATATTCATTCAGGCACAGTTAAGGTAAAATATACATGTGATGTAACAGTTTTTTAACTGAAAACGATTCGAAAAACACGTGTACCGTCTAGCTGATACTCAACAGCTGGTGGTGCGTCATGCGTCGTTGTAAACAATAGGAGGTTGAAGTAGATTACCGGGTATTATATTAAGTGTGAAATATCGAAAAGGTTTTTATTACCGGTATTTTTTGTAGATCAATGAGAACTGTGATACCGTATATGATATGATAAGTTAGCCTGTGCTAAGAACTTCAACATAGACTACTGAAAACACGTTGTAAGGTAATTTAGCCTATTGTAAGTTGGTGAGCTTCATTTGCTGAAGGAACTGCACAACTTTTCATTACTAATTGGTACATATTTTACGTTTCCATTGTTTACTGGCAGTAAATGGTAAATATTTTTCATGTCTGAAGCTAAAAGTTGCATCCCCCCCCACACTAGTGGTGATGTTACATTTAACCAAAAAGACGCTGGTGTTTTATCCCAGCAGTGGGTGGACCAGCATTTTAGCTTAAGGTCCGCGTAGGTAATATTCCTACAAATCCAGAAATTATCCGGATAAAGGGTCTGAATTAACGAGGGTAGACTGTACAGTGACCCCTCGTTTAACGAACACCTCGGTTAACGTAATTTCGATTAACGAACTGCCTTCCATAAGGATCTTCAATTCGTTTAACGAAAAAAATTTCGCTTAACGAACTTCTTACGAACCGACCTCAACATGTTTTCGCTTGCACTGACCGGGCAACCAGCTTTAGTATCAGTCCGCCAATACATTAATCGGTTCTAGGGCTTAAATTCCTTACTATTTTTGTAAATATCAAGAAGTTTATACTATTCAATAATTTTAAAAGTTTAATATTCAATTTTTTAGTCATTTTAACAATTATTGAACAAAATTGAAGGTAAAGTGACTAGTTTAATGCGCGGCATCCAGCCTCTTAACACAGCAAACAGGCGTCAGTCTCTCTCTGTTTTCACTGGAGGTAACATCTTGCTTGAGACTCTCTTCAACTAAACGCTTTTTTTCTGTGTTTCCAAGCAAATTATTGGTCATTTTGAAAATTATTTTACATATTGACAATATATAGTGCAGTGCAGTGTTACTTTAAAGAAAATATTCTTTATTTACAGCTAGTTTAACTTTGAAAAATACGTGTTGCCATTGTTTGAATCCAGCATGGGGCCTAAGAGATCAAGAAAAGTGATTTCAATCCAAATAAAGCAGGAAATAATAAAAAAACACGAACAAGGTATTAAATCAAATGCGCTATGCAAAGAATATGGCATGTCGGCATCAACTGTGTCGACAATTCTTGCACAAAAAGACAAATTTAAGGAAGTGAACGTGAGAGACAAATCTACAAGAGTGTTTAAAAGTAGATCCCTAATCGTAGAAACTGAGAGGTTACTTATCATCTGGATTAGGGAAAAACAGATGAAAGGTGATTCAGTTTCTGGTGATTTCATTTGTGAAAGAGCCAGGGAGATTTATGAACATTTAAAGACAGATCAACCTGGTTCTTCAGGAACAGAATTTGAAGATTTTCGGGCTAGCAAAGGCTGGTTCGAAAAATTTAAGAAAAGAAGTGACATTTTAAGTGTTGTTAAGCATGGTGAAGCTGCTAGTGCTGATAAAGAAGGGGCAGCAAAGTTTTTAATTGAATCTAAAAAACTGATGGAAGAAGAAAATTATCTTCCACAGCAAGTGTTCAATGTTGACGAAACTGGGCTGTTCTGGAAAAAGATGCCCAAAAGAACATTCATCACCAAGGATGAAGCCTCTTTACCTGGGCATAAACCCATGAAAGACCGTCTCACTCTATTGCTTGGTGCCAATGCTTCAGGGGATTTCCGACTGAAGCCTATGCTTGTCTACCACTCTGAAAACCCCAGGGTGTTCAAGCAACAGAAAGTGGTAAGAACAATGCTTGGAGTTTATTGGAAGTCCAACCGTAAGGCATGGGTGACAAGACAGTTCTTTAATGAATGGGCTGTTGATGTGTTTTGCCCCTCTGTCAAGAGCTACCTAACCACCAATAAACTTCCTTTAAAGGCTCTTCTCCTCATGGATAATGCTCCTGGTCATGACCCTGACCTTGCCAGAAATTTGGAGTATAAATTTGACTTTGTGAAAGTGTTGTTTTTGCCTCCAAACACTACATCACTCATACAGCCAATGGACCAGAATGTGATCAGCAACTTCAAGAAGTTGTACATGAAGAAAATGTTTAGGAGGTGTCATCAGGCAACTTCCATTGATCCTGAACTAACACTGAAACAGTTCTGGAAGACACAATTCAACGTCCTGGAGGCTGTAAAATTGATTGTGTCATCATGGCAAGAAGTCTCCAATAGAACCCTCAATTCTTCATGGAAAGCACTGTGGCCATCAGTAGTCCATGATTTTGAGGGATTTGAGGATGACACAGAGTTGGACCAGGAGATTGTGTCCATTGGTCAGTCATTGGGTCTTGAAGTGGAGGAGAAGGATGTGGAAGAGCTTGTGATGTCTCATGAGGAGGAACTTACTCCTAATGACTTGAAGGAACTGGATGAGATGTTACGGGTAGAGGCTGACAGTGGTGAGGAGGAAATTGAAAGTGATGACCATATGTCAGCTAAACAGTTGAAAGATGTGATTTACCACTGGGAGAAGTTCAGGGAACTGGCTTCAAAGCACCCAGAAGTGGAAAAAACTGAACTAACTTTGTGTCATGTTGAGGACTCAGTGGTCTCCTTCTTTAAACATAAGTTAATGGTGAGGAGGACAGATGCCCCACAGACCACAATTGACACTTTCTTCAGTAAAAGGCAGAGGGAACAAGATGCTAGCCCTCAGCCTTCCACTTCAAGAAGGAGAGAGGATGTTCATGGTGGAGAATCTGTCAGTCCAGAGGTTCCTGACATTTTCATGGAAGGTGACTCACCTTCCAAGAAGCAGTAAAATGCTTCTCCTCCACCTCCACTTCCTTCTCTTCTCCCTTCTCCTCCTGCACCTCCCACTTCAAATGCACATCATCACCATCATCCAGGAGCCTTCTACATACACACCTCAAAGTAAGTAAATTTTTCCGCCATTTTTGTTGAAGTTAGGAAATTTTCGGTGAGCTGGAACCAATTACCCAAAAACCCATTGAAACAATGGTTTCGGTTAACGAACGTTTCGGTTAACGAACGACCTTCTGGAACGGATTGAGTTCGTTAACCGAGGGGCCACTGTATTTATGATTTTTTTTGCCTTTGATCCCTAATTAAAGGTTTGATATTAAAGGTAGGGTATATAAGAATGTTATTCGTGAAATTTTACATTTGTGAGCGTCCCAGGAACCCATCCCTCGCAAATGTTGAGGGGTAATAAAAAAAAATGATAAATTGCAACAGCTGGCAGCTGCCACAGATTAAATATGAATTAATATTTACCAATTACGAACACTATTATTGTTTATGATCACATTGTTTAAGAGAATAAAATTTTATTCAGAAATAATAAATATAAGAATCTACAGTACTGTAAAAAATATCCAACAGACCAGTAAATCTTAAGACACAGATCAGGATAGCTCCACAGACCATAGGTTGGAAACCATTGTATTAGGATGCTTAAGACAATATCAGAATTAGAAGTACTTTATAAAATAATATGCAATGAGTGTGAGAAACTAACTGTTTAAGTACAGTAAATCATGAATACGAAGAAAAAGTGTAAGAGAAAATTCAGTACAAGAGAGGAAGAATATCAAGACATGGGCCAAAACAGTATACGTATTATGAAGCTGTGAATGAAAGATATGTGCATTCCAACATAGACCATCAGGCAAGTAAAATCTCTAGACACTGTTAAGTATCAGAAGAATAAGTACAACTGTAAAACTGGAAGTTAACTTACCATCATCACTCTCATTACGCATTATCTGCATTCTTCCATTATCATAACATATGGCTAATGTAGGACAATCTGGTTCAACATAGCCATTACGTCCATTGTACCAGGTAAGTCCAACAACCATGGCCCCCAAGCCCATGGTTCCTAAGCACTGGATGTTCAACCGACTCTGAAATGATTTATGGGATACCACATCATTTACAACATTCATGCTAAAAAATGATAAAGTTCAATGTTAAAAAGGCTAAACAGTCTGCCATTATCCACCATTTACAGAAAGAAAGGTTATATTAATAGAAGGCACAAACATGGAAGGTCCAGAGCAATGATCATCTGAGCCATGGAGCCTCTAAATATAACTCTCAACAGCAGTCTCTTATTAAATAAAGATAATACAGTCGGCCTTTCACATACGCGGGTTTAGCATTCACAGATTCGTAAATACGTGGATTGCCCCGCCGGAGGAATATTCTGTACATTGAAGTAATTGAAGTACATTCAAATCGCGCGCCATTCAACTCGCGCGCGGCACCTCACACAGGACACCGCCCGCTCCCGCAACCTCACACACACACGCATAGCTCTCCCTCACTCAGTCAAGTCTCGCTGTAACCACGCTTGTGTTGACATCAGCATTGTAGTTGCAAAAATATTACATTTCCGTGAATGTATTATATCAAGCACAGTATGAATAGAATATCACTAATATAAGAGTATTTTAACCGAAAACTACTAAAAAAACGAGTAACATATCTTGAACATCGGAAGGCTAGGTAAAGTCTTTTGTTTTCATGTGGTTTATCCTAATTTACATTGAAATGCATTATGTTTCAGCAAAACTACTATGTATTTCTGAGAATATGGAAATGTAATATTTTGCTGAAATGACGTACGTATTACAGTGGAAAGTGACGAAAGCAATGACTCGCTTTCTTTCGTTCAAAAGATGTTACCGTAATCGCTTTTCAAATGGTTTTCAGTTAAAAAACTGTTGTATTACAATAATATTCTATCCTAATTCACTTGTGATGCAACAGTTTTTTTAACTGAAAACCATTCGAAAAGCGATTACGGTAACATCTTTTGAACGAAAGAAAGCGAAAGTCATTGTTTTCGTCACTTTCCACTGTAATACGTACGTTATTTCAGCAAAAATATTACATTTCCGTGAATGTAGTATATCAAGCACAGTATGCATATAATATCATTGTAAAATAACAGTATTTTAACCGAAAACTATTAAAAAAACGAGTAACATCTCTTGAACATTGGAAGGTTAGGTAAAGTCTTTTGTTTTCGTCATGTATTTTATCCTATTTTACATTGAAATACATCACGTTTCAGCAAAACTACTATTTATTTCTGAGAATATATTCATTCAGGCACAGTTTAGGTAAAATATACATGTGCTGTAACATTTTTTTAATTGAAAACGATTCGAAAAACACGTACCCTCTAGCCCTGTTCAAGGAGAAGACTGGGAGGAGCTGTTTGGTGCTTAAGACGATGACAAGGAAAATGATTTTGATGGATTTTAATGAAAATATTCACAAAGACCCTGGCACTGTCAAGGAAAGTGGCTGCTGAAGGCTTCCGGGACATGGCAGAGGACGAGATTAGGGAGCTAATTGAAGAGCACGACACTGAGCTGACCGAGGAGGATCTACAGGAGTTAGTAGACTCAGGCAAGGAAGAGGAAGCGAAAGGGAAAGAGGATGAGGAAGAGCACCAAGAAATAACGTTGGAGAAGTTGGGGGAGATGACCAGGAATATTGAGGCACTGAAAAACCTGGCCTATAGTATGGACCCCTCCATGGTGCGTGCCCTGAAATTCATGCGAGGGATGGATGACGTTTTCGCTCCATACAAAAACATCATGGAAGAAATGAAAAAAAGAGACGACAACTCCCCATCACCATGTTCTTTGATCACCGAAGGAGAGATTTAACACCATCAATCACTGGCGACAGTGAGGAAGCAGCTGAATCCACAGTCGCCCCCACTTCACCACCTGTTATGGAATTGAGTGACCATGAGCCCGATGATCCACGCCCTGTCGCCGAGGAGAGGTACGGTACAGTAAAGTGAAATTCTTATCTCTTTTTTTCAATAGCTTTTCTTGCCATATTTATTGTTTGTAAAAATGCACAGCACAGTACAGTTCAGTACAAGTACTGTACATAGGAAGTGGAGGTGCAGTTATTCACAAAGCATTTGTGTTTGTTGTCGGCAGTAGTGACGGTGCGGAGGGAGGGGAGGGAGCGAGTTGGGAGGAGTGGTGGGGTGACCTTGGACGCAGGAGCAGGGACGAGTGTATTAATTGTTTTTATAGCTATTTTTGCATTTTAATATTAAATACTGTACATTACGTTTCAACAAAACTACCATTTATTTCTGAGAACACAGAAATGTAATGTTTTTGCTGAAATGATGTACGTATTACAGTGGAAAGTGGGATAAAATTGTGACGCAAGCAATGACTCTCTCTCTTTCTTTCGTTCAAAAGATGTTGCCGTAATGGCTTTTCGAATGGTTTTCAGTTGTGGGATTATAAGGCTAATGATAGGATAGAATATTATTGTAATACAGTACGAGTACAGTACAACAGTTTTTTAACTGAAAACCATTCGAAAAGCGATTACGGTAAAATCTTTTGAACAACGAAAGAAAGCGAAAGTCATTGTTCTCATAATTTTATCCCACTTTCCACTGTACAGTAATATGTACGTCATTTCAGCCAAAATATTACATTTCCATATTTATTTCTGAGAATATATTCATTCAGTCACAGTTAAGGTAAAATATACTTGTGCATCGTTTCCATTGTTTACTGGTAGTTACTGGTAAATATTTTTCAACCTAACGAAACTATTACCCTTTTAGAGGTCGACCCCCAATTTTTTGCAAAATAATTTGGTCTGAAAAACTTAAACTACACACAGGTATATACGATAAATAAGGACATGGGGGGCCAGGGGTTTTGGGGGGTAGCAAAAGTACACGGATTTTTAACATTCACGGGTATCTCTGTTACCTAACCCCCGCGTATGTTAAGGGCTGACTGTATATCAATCCTTTTACTATGTAGCTCAATGATAAAGCACTTATCTGATAAGGAAATGGCCCATGATTCAATACCTGACCAGTGTGGAGTACAGGAAAGCCTTCGATAAGAACGGTTCTACTACGACGATTCGTATTTAAGACCTAATTAATTTAGGACCCAATTCAATTTACGATAAAAATATAATACAGGTCAACAATCCCTTACCCGAAACCCCTGGGGACAGATGTGTTTAGGAATTCGGAATTTTTCGGAATTCAGAACGGCAGTATGGTACATATACCGTATATTATGGTAACAACCTAGCGGGGTCTGTGGCAGCACACCATAAGCAAACACATTAATATATCTGCAACGAACCTTATGAATATGAATTAAGAAGTACATACAGGTACAAAGTACTGTATATTGGCAATAGAAATAACAACATTAATTATAAACTTGGACAACTTGGAGTCTATTGGAAATCCAACCGTAAGGCATGGGTGACAAGACAGCTCTTTAATGAATGGGCTGATGAGGTGTTTTGCCCTTCTGTGAAGAGCTACCTAACCACCAATAAACTCCTTTTAAAGGCTCTTCTCCTTATGGATAATGCCCCTGGTCATGACCCTCAACTTGCCAGCACTTGGGAGGCTCGATTTGACTTTGTCAGAGTGTTGTTTTTGCCTCCCAACACTACATCAATTATACAGCCAATGGACCAGAATGTGATCAGCAACTTCAAGAAGCTGTACATGAAGAAAATGTTCAGGTGTTATCAGGCAACTTCCACTGATCCTGAACTAACACTGGCACAGTTCTGGAAGACACAATTTAACATCCTGGAGGCTGTAAAATTGATTGTGTCCTCATGACAAGAAGTCTCCACTAGAACCCTCAATTCTGCATGGAAAGCACTGTGGCCATCAGCAGTCCATGATTTTGAGGAAGAAACGGAGTTGGACCAGGAGATTGTGTCCATTGGTCAGTCATTGGGCCTCGAAGTGGAGGAGGATGATGTGGAAGAGCTTGTGATGTCTCATGAGCAGAAACTTACTACTGAAGACTTGCAGCAACTGGATGAGATGTTAGAAGCTGACAGTGGTGGGGAGGAAAGGGAAAGTGATGACCATGTGTCTTCTTCAGACTTAAAAGATGTTGTTTACCACTGGGAGATGTTCAGGAAACTGGACTCAAGGCACCCTGATGTGGAAACAACAGAACCTATTTTGTGTAATGTTGAGGACAGAGTGGTCTCCTTCTTCAGAAATCAGTTTATGATGAGGAGGAGAAATGCCCCACAGACAAAAATTGACAGTTTCTTCAGTAAAAGGCAGCGGGAACAAGATGCTAGCTCTCAGCCTTCCACTTCAAGAAGGAGAGAGGATGTTCCTGGTGGAGAATCTGTCAGTCCAGAGGTTCCTGATATTTTCATGGAAGGTGACTCGCCTTCCAAGAAGCAGTAAAATGCTTCTCCTCCACCCCCAATTCCTTCTCTTCTCCCTTCTCCTCCTCCACCTCCCACTTCAAATTCACGTCAGCATCATCAACGAGGAGCCTTCTACATACACACCTCTAAAGTAAGTGTACTTAACTGCATTTTTTTTTTACTTTATGTAATTTTCGGTGAGCTGGAACCAATTACCCCAAATCCCATTGAAACGATGGTTTCGGTTAACGAAATTTTCGGTTAACGAACGACCTTCTCGAACGAATTGTGTTCGTTAACCGAGGGATCACTGTAAGATAAAGTAATTAATTGTCCAATTTCTGTTTGGAAGTTAAAGAGCAAAAGACTATAATAAAGCACTCTCCTAGCAAGTTTATACTATACTTACAACAAACCCTCCAGTATTATCATAGACATGAACTTCACCATTGTGAAGTGAAAATAGAAGCAGGCAAGAATCAGGTGACCATTCAACACCCATTAGATGTTGCCCCTTCAGCTCCTTGCCCCATATCCGGTTCCCATCCACACTTCCGACAATTACTGCACCTGCAAGCAAATAAAATACTTAATACTAATCCATGAAATGCAATTTATGGCCTGTGTGGTATTACAAAGAAGGTTAAATATTCAGTCATCCCTTGGTTATAGCGCACTTGGTTATCGCGATTTTCGTTATCACACCGCCATCAAAATCTGCACACCTGCTGTAATAGCGCATTTTTCAAGCCATGAATTTCGTTATCACACAGTTGCCTCCAGGTGTTTTTACCCATTTGCTTCACCTACATCTATTGAGGATAAAATCTTTCACCTACAAATTGACAATAACACATTTGCTGTAATCAGACATATCTGTGTCATTACTAAGGAATAACGAAGTCTCGGGTGCACTCTAAGATTGAGAGAAAACGGAGGACTCAGGCATCCTGAAGCGATGAGAAAACGGACTCCTCAGACGGGGGACTCAAATAAAGAAAGCATAGCTACATGTTTTGTGGACTACAGTATTGAGCGTACCCTTTTCATCACTTTTTAATAAACCTAGCCATGCCTACCGTATATCTCGGCTTATAAGACGGAATTTGAACATTAAAAAAATCTGCCCAAAGTTAGGGGGTCGTCTTATCACCAAGTATAAAATTCTTACCTCTTAAATATTGTGTTTTAGTGTGTCAAGAGTGGTGATGGAAACATCGTAAGCCACTCACAAGCTCCTACCACTAATTATTTTATACTGAAACTTACGTTTGGCAAGCTGGATTCAAATTAAGATTACCGGCATATTAAAATAATAAAAATGTATTATAAACCTGTCTAACATACCGTAAAAGAACATTATACCCCTGTAATAAACACAGCTATCATCACACCCCTCCCCACGCCCCCCCCATTTGCCAGTGAGGAGACAAGAAAGGTAAAGTGACAGCGAGATTGGGCTATTTATAGCCGTGGAGGTGGTCAGTAATGCATATCGGTATATTTACTGATAATAATACTTATCTCCTATAAATAATTAATTTAAAATTTATTTTTTTACAAGGAATATTCAGTAAATGACTACATTAATTCTTGAAACTACTGACAGTTAAATACAGACGCTTAAGTGACGTCACTAGTGTTTACACTACACCAGCTGGTAACATTTGATACGATTACTTGAAGTGAATTGGCCTTATTTAAAGTAACTAACCATAAATAAATACAAAAAGTAAAAAAAAGATCAAAAGTGAGAAATAATATACTGTATGTATGTTGTGTTGCCAAAGTTAGAGGAACAATTCAAACTGCAATTGTGTGTAAATGAGGCAGAAAGTCAGGTCAGCGCTGAACCTGGGAATTGGTCACAATTTTCGTGATGCCATATGGCAGCAGGGTCTACCATTAGACAACACTTCATGCTTCCAATATCTTCCCAGGCGGTAGTATCTACCTGTTTGGTAGCTGCCTACTACCTACACAATTTTGAGTAATATTACTTTGATACATGATAAATTAGACAAACAATGAAAATAAACATCAAATTTAATTACCAAGACGCTTCCCATTGGCAGCTGTAAGAAGAGGGGGAGATGGGCTATTTTTATCCCGTCTTTGTGTCTGAAGTGGCCAGTACAGTTGTACCCCACTTAACGCGGTCAATTGAACCCAGAGGGTCCCACGTTAAGTGAAATCCGCGTTAAGTGAACAACAGAACATATGGGATTAATTCCAATAGAAACCGGCCCGACCCCCAAACTCCACTTTTTGAAGGCACATACCTATGTTGTAGTAAAAATAACATCTTAATTTTATGATGGTACATGCACACAATTAATACTTAAGAGAAATAGAGAAATACAGTCGCCAAGTTAATGTCCATTCAAATAATGGACTCAACTCCCTCCCCCTCTCACACTACACAGCCGGCTAACAGATGGTCGGTCGGTCCCTCCCTCCCCCCCCACCCCCCACCAACCGTCCCAAGGAGATGTGTGGGATAACCTCAAACTAAAGTTAGGAAAATATAATTGACATTGCTGGATTCCTTGTAAGACCAGGAATATTTTGAATATAAATGTCATATATTTTGGACAAAAGATAACATAGTTACCTAGAGAAAAATTTTATCTAAAAATTGTAAGTTTAAAGCAAAATATATGATGTTTATATTCAAAATGATCACCAAATTATAAGAATTCCAGCAATGTAAATTATATTCTGACCGGGTAATTTGTATGAATTTTATGAGCTAAAACAAATATCTTCAGTTAATAAAAAAAAAAATAATCTTCACGACACTATCTGTCAATCAAAGTACCCCACCTTGCCTCCCCCCCTCTTCCAACCGCGCGGTCAGTCCCAACCCTCCCCCCCACCCCCCACCAATCCTCCCTTCCAGAGTTTTTAACATTTAGTATTAAATAATACCTCAGATTAAAGTTAGGATAATATAATTGACATTGCTGGATTCCTTGTAAGACCAGGAATATTTTGAATATAAATGTCATATATTTTGGACAAAAGATACCATAGTTACCTAGAGAAAAATTTTTATCTAAAAATTGTAAGTTTAAAGCAAAATATATGATGTTTATATTCAAAATGATCACCAAATTATAAGAATTCCAGCAATGTAAATTATATTCTGACCGGGTAATTTGTATGAATTTTATGAGCTAAAACAAATATCTTCAGTTAATAAAAAAAAATAATAATTCTTCACAGGGTAACAGATGGTCGGTTGGTCCCTCCCTCCCCCCCACCCCCCACCAACCGTCCCAAGGAGATGTGTGGGATAACCACTAAATTTTAATAAATAATACCTCAAACTAAAGTTAGGATAATATAATTGACATTGCTGGATTCCTTGTAAGACCAGGAATATTTTGAATATAAATGTCATATATTTTGGACAAAAGATACCATAGTTACCTAGAGAAAAATTTTTATCTAAAAATTGTAAGTTTAAAGCAAAATATATGATGTTTATATTCAAAATGATCACCAAATTATAAGAATTCCAGCAATGTAAATTATATTCTGGCCTGGTAATTTGTATGAATTTTATGAGCTAAAACAGGCAGTCAGGCAGGGTGGCGGGTGGGGCAAATCTAAAAATAGCGTCTCGGACACTCACCGCGTATATGTGGAAAAAATCCGCGTTAAGTGAAAGTTCAGCTTTGGCAAGGCACCGCGTATATACGAAAACGCGTTAAGTGAAACCGCGTTAGGCGGGGTAAAACTGTAATACCATATATTTACTGATCATAATACTTATCTCCTATAAATAATTAATTTAAAATTTATTTTTTACATAGAATATTCAGTAAATGACTTTAAATAAATATATATATATATATATATATATATATATATATATATATATATACAGTTGGTCCTCATATTACGCGGTCCCGCGTTTCACCGTTAACGCGGTGCCTTGCCAGAACCTAACATTCTCACATTCCGCGGTTGCGAACGCCATTACGCGGAGAGTGTCCGGCGCGACGCTATTTTTAGATTTTCCCCACACGCCACGCGCCACCCGCCTGCCTGCCTCTCCCTCCTCCTCCCTCCTCCTCCCTCCGCTTGGGCAAGCGGCGCGGTAAGGTTGCGCAGTGTGTCTTTGTTGCATTATCACTGACGTCATATGACGTACAAGACCTGTGATTGGCCATGCATCCCTACCCTCCTCTGCTGCTAGCTGTAATTGGCTTAAAGTATTATGACGTGTCCACCCGGGGGAGGGAGGGAGGGAGGAAAGACGACGCTTGACCTAGCCGCGGCAGTTTCATCCCTCAAGGCCACTCCGTGTAAACGCGCATCCATTGTTCCGTAAAATGGCTTCCGCCGGACCACCACCCCCAGAGAGAAACCTTTCCTTACCTGGACCCAGCGGCACTAAACCAAAGAAGACACGACGTTCCTTAAGCTACGAGGTGAAGTATAGCATCATCCAAGAGTTGGAGAAAGGAACAAGGCAGGTTGATTTGGCGCGCCAGCATGGCGTGAACGAATCTACGATCCGGACTATAAAGAAGGATTCAGCCAAGATAAAGGAGCACATGAAGATCACAAAGTCTACAGGTGCTTCTATGATCAAGTATTTTCACAACCAGGTGCTTCTCAAGACAGAAAAATTACTTGTGAGGTACTTGGTGCGTCAGGCGCGACGGAACATGGCGGTCGACACGCGCTCTGTGAAGGACTACGCACGTGAACTGTACATGGCAGTGGCACGAAAGATGGGAATTACAGAGCCCAAACCCTTTACTGCTTCCTCTGGGTGGTTACAGAGGTTTAAGATCCGGAACAAGATCACCAATATAAACATTGGTGGTGAAGAAGCGAGTGCTGATCGTGCTGCGGCTCGGGAATTTCCTTCGTTTTTACGTGAGATTATGGAGGACCAGGTGTTTAACATGGACGAATCTGGTCTTTCCTGGAGAAAACTACCTTCCAAGTCCTACATTATGAAGAATGCCAGCAGGATTCGGGGCCGGAAAATGCAGAAGGAACGCATCACCGTCCTGTTTGCCACCAATGCCTCCGGTACCTGTAAGCTCAAGTTATCGGTGATCCACACAGCACGCAAGCCGCACGCCTACAAAACCATGGACATGACCAAGCTAAATGTCCACTGGCTGACAGCACGTAAGGCATGGATGTTCTCTACACTGTCCCTCTCCTGGTTTGATGACTGTTTTGTTCCCGATGTAAAGAAATTCTGTGAGCAACAGAATGTCCCATTTAATATTTTGTTGCTGCTGGACAACGCACCAGGACACTCGCCCCTACTGTTAGATCGTCACCCCAACGTAAAAGTGGTCTTCCTTCCTCCCAACACTACGTCTATATTACAGCCCATGGACCAGGAGTTGATTTGCAATGTGAAAGCTGCATTCTCAACAAAAAAATTCCAGCTCCTGAACGACTACACCAACACCAGGGAAGAGTTGCGTGACCTGAGTGACACCACCACCGATAGCAAGAGCGACGAAGATGAGGAACAACGGTTAGAACAGCAAAAAATACTCTTCAAACAATTCTGGAGAGTATTTAACATCAAGAAAGCTGTGGACATC